TTGGATATCTCTCTCTGGTCTTAGCGCTTCATGATATACTAACAAACGTTCAGACATTAATTGGGTGGCAGAGTTTATAGTGCTACATGTAGCTGAATAATTTAGGAAAGCTATTTCAAATTCCGAAATATATAATTTATTATAAGTATTATAAGTATTGAATAACTTTTAATTCTTTAATGAATGAAAAATAAAGTATTAAAGATATATATACCTGTTTTCGAAGCTTTTATACGATCGAATTCACGTCTTTCCATAAGGGTCATTTGATCTATCTATTTTTTCAAAGATAAATTTGAGAAAAACTCATCATTAACGCTAAATAAAATTTTATGTTGTTAAACATACCATAGATTCTTCAAGATATAATCGAGTTCTATCTAACCTATTAAATAAAAATTCATTATATCATATTAAAAAAATATATATATAGAGAAAAATGAAAAGACATAGAAAGATTTTTTTTAATAAATTAACCTTCTTACTGCATGTCGATAGGCCTCATCGGCTTCATCAGCCTCTTTTCGAGCACGTTTTTCAGAAGGTTGATTGGCAGAGATTGCATACATTAATCCACCCCAACCTATTCCAGCGTTTACATCCTCAGTTTCTCTGAGGTTGAATGTTTTACTCTTGAATTGAAAATAAGCTGGAGGAGTGCTAACAAAATTATTGCCAATCGCGCCTATGTGTCGTAAGAATCCTTGATCAGCCAATTCTTGACCAATTTTTTCAGCATCCTGCCATGTTTTTGCATTAACATGATTATTCATTAACCATTTTGTAATATCTTCACCAGAATATGCATCATTATAAACACCAAGAATTGGTATTTTAATTTCAGTAGAAGGAATTTCATCACGCATTTTAATAAAAAATGACATTATTTCTTCTTCAGAAAATGAATGATTCCCAAGTATAACAGTTAATGGAGGATCTTGTGGCATTTCTTTTTCAGATATTGACATAGTCTCTGATTCATGAACGGCACTTTCATCAGCTTCATCAGCCAGTTGACATTTTGTTATATAATTAAATTTCGATTTTTCAACCTCATCAACCATTTTGTTAAATAATTTCAAATATCCAGTTATTTCTTCTCTACTTGCTCTAAGGCCTTTATTAAAATCTTCACTTTGTTTAAGAAAAGGTTTAAGTACTAAATCTGACAAGTTATTAGCCATTTGTAAATGAGCTTGACCTAATTGGTCACATTCTTTTTTTACAGTTTCAAATGAACGTCTCAGCGAAGTATCATCTTCACGCATAGAGCCATTTGTTCGGTTACTTATTTGAGAAAGGTCACATAATTTCTTGCCATATGATTCTTCTACCGCTATCCTTTCCTATAAGTGAAAATATTTTATTATTAAATTAGATTTTCTTTATAATTATCATAATAATCATAATAATAATAATATTATTATTATTAATATTAATAATATTATTATTTTTTATTTTTTATTTTCTTTATTATTATTATTAAAATGGTTAGGGATTACATTTGATTAATGAAATAATACTAACCCTAAGAAAGTCAATGATTTCTTCATTTTCTATATTACCTTGATCTAATTTATTATATAGGACAGTAATCCCATTCTGATAATTTCCAGCTGTCCAAAATGAATTTTCAAATTTTAATTGAACGACCATTTAGAGGTATGAATATATATAATATAAATGAAATTTCTCTTTATATATAAAAAGTTTTCTTATTATAATTTTAAGAGTATCTAAGGTTGTCACAAATCAACTGTGCAATCCAATAATCGATAAATGAAAAATGAGTCAGAATATTCAAGGTATATATATGCTAGAAAAAATTCAAGGAAAATTTTATAAACGTTCGGATCAACCAAGACAATCAAGTAGATTCGCAAAATAGTATCTTATCGTTAAGGTTTTTTTTTTTTAATCGATATTTGAAAAAAAAACAATAATAATCCTATGACTTATGAAGAGAATATTATACGTAGTTAGAAAGAGTAATCAAAAGAACGTATGTAATATATAAAACATATAGAAATGCGTAATTTAGAACTTTAGAATTTATTTATATTAAAGAATTTAAACTTGACCTTTAAAAGGAAATACAGTAAAAAAAGCCATCTTACGATGTACAACCATATATTATATATTATAGTGATCGTTTCCAAGTTTATTATATAAAATTTCAAAGTTTACTGTTGTGTTTTCAAACCATCCTATTTTGTGTTATAAAACTTGTAACAATGTTACACAGATAAATTAATACCTGTTTGCTAACAAGTACTTGCAGTATCCCAATAAAACACCAATTACTTTAATGAATTTGATTTTATATGTGACGAAAAAAAAAAGAGGGTCAATTCGTTCACAATTCTGGTTATATAACCTGTTTATAAATAGTTTATCTCTCAAAGTACATACCGATACTCAAGTTCAGCCTAAAAATCTATTTGATCTATTCTTAATATGATTAGATTGATTCACATTATTAAAGATTTTTAGTATAATTAGATTAATTAATTAACAAAAATGACAAGCAAAATTGTTATGTTTACGTAGACTGTATATGACATGTTAATTATCATATGATTTGGAACAGATGATAGGGTTTAGTCAAAAGAACGAACGGATTTATATAACAAATGTTATTTATCGATACTCACGGCTAATTTTCAATGATTTAATGCATTCTATACAGTTAATAGGTTGATTCGACTAAAAAAACTGAATAGCCGAATCCGACCTCTAGGTACAGCATATAACAATATGTCTAGTGATTAGGGGGCAGTGTTGTACATTTTATGATCATTGGTTCTGCCAACAATATTGAAATTCTGAAAATTAGATAATTGTCACTTTACGAGATTCAATATTCAAAGTCCGCGGACTTTAAATAATTGTCTCATAAAGTATTTCAGGAATTTCATTTTTAGAATTTCGTAGTCTTTAGCAGTATAAAGTCCAATATCCAAACTATCACCTTAAGCAAAATTACAGTATATAAAAAATAACTGAAATAATTTAAGGTAAATGTGGTATGGTACGTAGCGAATCTATTATACTTACCATGAAACTATTCTAAATTTTGCCACAATTCCCTCTTAACTTAATTTAGCATTAAAATATCGATATCTCAACCATTAAATTCTTTTCACTACGTAGAACGATGTTGGATCACGAGTTACAAGATTAGTCACAATGCCACACTTACCTAATACAAAATTCAATTTAAAATTATTTTTATTTTGTTAAACTACGTATCTTAACAAAATTTTGAGCTATTTAAAATTGTTTTTTTTTTCCAAATTTGACTCAACTATCTCGTGTACAACACTGACTAGAGGTGCTGAAATATTAACGTGTAACTAGAAAAAAATGTCGTAAACTATAATCATAAAGCTTTAAAATAGAGTTTTTTTTGTCATTATCATTAAATAAAATTTTAATTATTCCGTTATATATTACACTGTGTATATATATTCATTTTTAGCCTGATTTGGTTCATTCTACGTAGTTATTTTGTCTTTTCTACGTATAAATTAACTAAATTTTGAGATTAAGTTAGTTGTTGACTTACAAATTTACATATTTGATATTAAGTGTTAATTACACAAAAATTAGTACAAGTTATAAACAACCTAATAATCAAAAATCTGTATGAATAACCTATTTGAGAAATATATACTGTATGTCAGATTTTGTTTTAAAAGTTAAATAACTTTTTAAGAAACAATAGTATCACATTCCTATATGTGATATGATCAAGTGTAACTTATATCTAGGGGTGTTAAAAAGAGTAAATTAGTTGCGCATGGTCGGATAGGATGTAAACATGATCTTTTTAAAACTTTGATAGAAGATTTCTCAGCATACAATTAACTATTATTTTTATATTCTAATTCTTTAGATTTATATAGTTAAAATAAAAAAAAGTTTACCAAATTTGATTAAATATTCATAGAGAAAACTTATAAAATATTGAAAAAAAATTGAAAATCTGAAAAAAAAATGAAAAAAGTCGGGCTAATTTCTTTTTTTCTCGACAAATACCTAACCAAATTCGGTGGAACTTTAGGGTTAGTTTTTCTGATGCAGTTAATAGTTTTATTTATATATAGTTATCAAGAATGTAATTTATGCAATATGTAGATCTATATGTAAACGTACCTGGCTTTAACGGACCCCCAAATTCGATAAAATTTTGGTAAAAGTTTGAAAACAAATTTGCCGCAGCTTATTTTTTATAGATGTTTATACTTTGAACGAAGGTTTCTCAAAATTACACAGTTAAATTCGATGAAAATTTTTTTATTTTAATTCTACATGATTATAGAATTAAAACAAAAAAAATTTCACCGAATTTAACTAGGTAATTGTCGAGAAATATTCGTTCAAATAATAAACATTTATAAACTGCGGCCAATTTTTTTTTAAAACTTTATCTCGACAACTACTTAATAAAATTTGATAAAATTTTTTTTATTTTGATTGTATAATCTCAGAGCATTAAAATAAAAAAATTTTCATCGAATTTGGTTAGGTATTTGTCGAGAAACTTTTACCCAAAGTTAAAAAAAAAAATTAAATTAACCTGACTTTTTTCATTTTTTTCTGATTTTCAACCGTTTTTCAACATTTTAGAAATAGTTTGCTCAATGAATACTTAACCATATTCTGTAAACTTTTTTTTATTTTAATTATATAAATCTAAAGAATTAGAATATAAAAATAATTTCCGAATTTAGTTAATACTGTGTTAAGTAGGGTTCGAGACCGGTTAAAAAATTAGGCTTGCCTATTAGGGCATGCCTTGAGTTGAGGCATTCCTATAAGGCATGCCCTAGACTATAAATTTTTTTTGCGCATAACTCTTCTGACTAGTTGGCCAATAATATACAAGTATACAAGTCAATATATCACATGACTGGCATGCATATTTGCTTTTTGGCATGCCCCAAGGGCATGCTCCAAAGGCATGCCTGTGCCTCTGTGCCTCGAACCTAGTGTTGAGAAATCTTCCGTCAAAGTTTTAAAAATACTCCATGTTTACATCCTATCCGACAATGCATCCGAAAAGATCTGCTGAGCTAACTAATTTACTCGTTAAGAAAGTCGACTCGACATTTAATGACATCAGCATTCAATATGTACGGAATTATTTATGGTAAATTTTATTATTTTAATTTTTTATTATTATTATTATATATACACACTCTTGCATCAGGAAGTGCATTTTTTATACGTAAAATCTAAATAGATCTGCAAGTTTATATAAATGTTATACGTATTTCTATATAGGTTTACAAACCTAATATAGACTTATATAACTATAATTTCTATATACGTATTATTTTTATTTAACAGTTAAAGTTTATACGTACGTACGTATAAAATTCTATTTATACGTACCTTTATAAATATAGTTCTATATAGAAAAATTATTTATATTTACATAAGTATAGAAATTATAACTACATAAGTCTTTGTAAATCTATCGCTATGTATAATTTAAATAGAATTTTTATAAATATATGTAAAAATTCTACATAGATCTATGTAAAAATGTATTTCGTGATGTGATAATTCTGCATTAATTCCACACATTTTACATGAACTCTCTTTCTATATTAGTTAAACTTCATGCTATTGGACTAGTTGACTAATCAGAGCTTATTAACACCCCTACATCATGTATATGTATATAGTGTCGGAGAGTAGGTTTCATCTAGTTATTTACTTTTTAATTAAGCTATAAATAATAACATATTGTTGTTGAAACCTGTAATACTGTTATCACATAATGCTCCTATTTTATCGTTATACTTAGTTTTATTTTTTTGGAGGTTGTTCCAAATATGTATAATTGATTAAATATTCGGTCACTATTGGTCTTAATTTTAAGTTCGCTTATTAGGTTTTAAATTCGCTAATTCTGTTTTAAATTACATACTCGATTTCGAGATTGTAAATTCTATTTTAATCTTTGGAATTATTGTCAAAATTTTGTTTAGATTTTGCTTGTGTTTTACGTTCGTTCTTTTTTATTTTCGGAATTTTCGGATCTACTATCTCAAATATTTGTTTCCAAATTTCAATGACTTCCTTTTCATTCAAATTATTAGAAATATTCAAAAGTTGACCAATTTATTTTTTTAAAGATTGGATTAGTACTTTATAAATTAATTAGTGTTTCCAAGTGAAAACCAGTAATTTTTTAAAAATAGATTATTAAAGTTAAGAATTTTATAATATTTTATTTTTAGAATTCCTAGTTTCTACCCATATATTAATTATATACAATCATTTAGCTAATCTTTATTTTTATTAGAGTCACCGATTTTTTTCTGCACTTTTTAAACTTATTTATTACGATAAAGATAATTTTGCGACCTATACGAATTATGTAGAATAATACAAACTTGTCCATCGACTGGGTTGACCCACACTAGTGTTGCGAGTTAAACCGAAATATTCGCCCTTGGCGAAATTATTTCACTCAGCAATTGAAATGTTTCGTCCTTGCAAAATGTCTTAGATTTTGAAAAGTAATTTAGCTCACAACACTAACTCAAACCTTAACGGGCCGTGTATATGAATCGAATTTTCACAGTATCATTCCATTTATAAAGTTTTTTCTGAACATCAAAGTATTATGCTTGAATCGT